CAGTTTGGCTGTGTCTCTCAGTGGCTGAGGAAGCTTCTGCTCATACATCCAAACATTTTATTTCCCATTGTAGTTTGTGTTATTTTTGCAGTGCAACTGTGAAATAAGTAACCATGGCTCCAAAGTAAGTTCCTGTGGTAAAGAAAGTGAGAAACACCATGGAATTTAACCCTTTGACTGTCGCAGGCCCCTTTCTGAAACTGTCATATGTCAATAAATTTAAAAAAAAAAAAAATATTATTTTTTCTTATGAAATGATAGAGAATCTTTTCCCGATGGTAATGACACCAAAAGTATGAAATTTGGTCGAAAACTCACGGAATTACGCTCCCGCGAAGTTAGCGGTCTCGGCAACATATGCATATTGGCGATTTCGCAGACTTTGAGCCCTGTTTTCAGCCAATTCTGTTGTTCCAGTTGACCAAACTCATAGCTATTTCTTTAGAACTCCATTTTATCTATCAGTTGAGTACAAGAAACTGCCCATTTACCAATTTGAACTACCCAGTAAAGTGGTCAGAAATTGGCAATTTGGCCAATTTCATGCAAATTAAGAAAGATGCCAATTTCAAAATAGGGTCCAGAATAAACAATGTAGACATTCTTGGCACTAAAATAACATATTCTCTGTTCATTAGTCACATCTCTAGGCCCCTCTTATATTATTATTGCTTTCTATTTTGATTTTTTATTCATACAAAAAAATACAAAATTTACTGTTATGCAGACTACTGCATTATTGTAAAAATGGTATAAATAATATCAGTGCACTAGTGAAAGAATATTAGACTCCCCAGTTGACGCATATTGGACATGTGGTGTGATTTGTTTACTCCTGATCATTGGTAAAAATTGAACATTTCCGCTACTTTGAGTTCAGTTTCAAGGTCGTTTTCATCGTCAAAGTAATGAAAATCATCTCTATTTCTGTAATATGTTTTCCATTTTATCACCTAAGACCATGAAAACACGAATACAATGATAAATACTATAAGAAAATACACCTCAAAGTCGGCGTTTTAATCCAAAAAAACGATCAGTTTTTTTTCTCATTACGCACTGTGTGCTGCAGGATTTTTTTATGTGGTGCACACTGACCACACAGACCCATTCTCTCACATGTGAGCCTACCAGCTTTCTCCTGCTTGATTTGAAGCCGCTACAATTATTGAGTATATATACGTCAGAAACAGTGGCGCGTAAGACGTATTTATACGGCGTAAACAGTCAAAGGGTTAAGTGTGAAGTGATAGAAAAATTTGAGAGTGGTATGAAGGTGATGGAACTTGCCAGGATGTACAGCAAGAATAAATCAACAATTATATCCATCATGGCAAAGAAAGAACAAAACAAAGATGCTAATGTTGCAAAAGGAGTAACTTTTCTAACTAAACAATGGACACCGATAATGGAAGAGATGGAAAAGTTATTATTATTGTGGATTAAGGAAAAAGAATTAGTGGGAGACAGTGTTGTGGAGTCGATTATTTGTGAGAAGGCAAGGCAGTTGCAAGAGGATCTTGCAAAGAAAATGCCTGGAACAAGTGCTGCAGTTTGTGAATTTAGGACCAGCGAAGGATGGTTTGATAGATTTAAGAAGTGTAGTGGCATACACATTGTAAGGCATGGTGAGGCTGCAGTTCTGACAAATGTGCGGCTGAAAAATTCATGCAGTAATTCCAGGGGTACACAGACAAAGGAGGATTCAAACCCCAAGTGTTCAATTGTGATAAAACAGGCCTGTTTTGAAAGAAAATGCCAAACAGGACTTACATTACCCAGGAGGAAAAGGCACTACCAGGACACAACCCTATGAAAGACAGGCTTACCCTTTTGTTGTGTGGTAATGCTAGTGGAGATTTCAAAGTGTGAAAAAATACCTCCTGGAAAAGAAATTGCCACTCAAGTGCCTCCTGTTACTGGACAATGCTCCTGCACATCCTCCAAATTTGGAAGACCAAGTGTTTAGGGACTTCAGTTTTATAAAAGTGAAGTTCTTGCCTTCTAACATCACTCCTCTCCTCCAGCTCATGGACCAGCAGGTCATTTCTAACTTCAAAACACTCTACACAATAGCAGTTTCAAAAGTGCTTTGAAGTGACCTCGGACACTCAGTTGACCCTAAGACAGTTCTAGAGGAATCACTTCAGTATCCTCCATTGCATAAGCCTTATAGGTAAGGCTTGGGAGGGAGTGACTTCCAGGATTTTGAACTCTGCTTGGAGAAAACTGTGGCCAGATTGCATCCAAGAGAGGGATTTTGAAGAGCTTGAGGCTGACCCTGACCCTGCCGACCCTGTGGACTCTATTGTGGCACTGGGGAAGTCCCTGGGGTTAGAGGTTAGTGGCGAGGATGTGGAAGAGTTGGTGGAGGACCACAGGGAAAAGCTAACCACTGAAGAGCTGCAAGAGCTTCAACTTGAACAGCAACAGACTGCAGCTGAGGAACTTGCTTCAGAAGAGGAGGAAGAGAGAGTGAAGGAGGTGCCTCCTTCATTGATTAAGAACATTTGTGGAATGATGTGCAAAGTTTTGTTGAGAAGTACCACCCTGACAAAGCTGAAATAAGCCATATCTGCAACATGTTTAGTGACAAAACCCTGTCCCACTTCAGGGAAATCTTAAAGAGACACCAGAAATGGAGCACTCTGGACAGTTATTCTGAGACAGGGGTCCAGTGACTCTCAAGCTGGTCCTAGTGGCATTAAAAGACAAAGACGGGAAGTAACCCAAGAAGGCTTTGCTACCTAAAGTCTTTATTATACACAATACAGAAGATTCTCAACGTTTTTGTAAGTCGAGGACTTATTATACAGGAGGGCCCTGAATTTTCAGCTCCCTCTGTTTTTTTATGGTCCTCTATTCTAGCGGTTTTCAATTGAGCCATTGTTTATTTTGTTCAGCGCTTTTTCAACTTTTCTGCCTTTTTGCACAACAGATGCATAAGATAAGCTCGACCGGTGCCATATTTTAAGGTAAGTACATGTATTGTACGTACTATGTATTTATTTTACTTTAGTATCCTTTTTATACCTAGATGTAGTGAGCACTTAATATATGACAGTGTAATTACATTTTAGACAGAATTGATATTGAAAAAATGCTCTTTTCCACTTGCCGGCGATTTTTGCTCATAGCTGAGGGTCGGGAACCTAACGGTGGTAAAAATGGGGCTCTCCTGTATGTGCACAGCAAGTTATGCAGGCCCAAACTACCATCCCACTCTACATGGGGTGAACATACTATCCTCATAGCTGAAGCACTTTGTAGGTACAGTACCTGGGTGTTACCTAGCACTAAGCAGGTACCTGGGTGTTACCTATCAGCAAGTAGGTACAGGAGGGCTCCGCTTAAACAACGAATTAGGGTCCAGGCTACTGCTGTAAAGTGAAAATTGCTGTGAAATGAAAAATAGGCTTTTTTCACTTTCAAATGCATATAAAAGCCTGATGTTTTTTTCTTTTTCTTTTCAGTAGGCCATACAGGAAAAGGGGTTACGTGCCCATTGCTCCCGGCAATGTACACACAACTTACCTTAAAATATTTTCATCCGAAGCTTATAGCAAGTGGTGAATATATTCATTTCAGGAAGTCTGAATAAATGAAGAATGGATATAACTGAAAACCACAGCATTATTGAAACACTGTAAAGCAAAGTGCTGTAAAATGGGGCCTTGGTGTACCTGGGTGTGGGTCGCATAATGGGGGACATTATTAAACCTAAGTTGTCAGAAATGACTCAAGAAATCGTAATGACACGATTGCAAACAAACCATACCCCCGGCCGGGATTGAACCCGCGGTCATAGAGTCTCAAAACTCTAGCCCGTCGCGTTAGCCACTAGACCAGCTAGCCACAATAAGATTCATCCAACTAGGTATATTTCTACACCATAGGTCTAGTGGTCTAGTGGCTAACGCGACGGGCTGGAGTTTTGAGACTCTATGACCGCGGGTTCAATCCCGGCCGGGGATATGGTTTGTCAGAAATGCTCTGCATGTCTAGGGGCCTTCTATATATTATGTCACTGATGTCAGCTATGGTCTGTATAAGTTGTATCATATAACTGTAGAATTAAAGATCATTATTATTACTGTTTAGCAACAGGATACTACACTTATTGAGGAGTCGTGGAACTTTTTTTTTAATCCAAGTGGATTGACAAATCCCCACTAGCAAAAATGTCTCCTCAATAAATATCTAAATACAACACACAAATTATTTAAATAATTGTTGGTATTTAATACCAGAGATCACCTTGAAAAGTTCCACTTCAAGAAAAATACATGAACTTCTCGACTTACAATGGTTCGACTTAAGATATTTCAACTTCATGATCGTACAAAAGCAATTACAGTGGACCCCCGCTTAACGATCACCTACAAATGCGACCAATTATGTAAGTGTATTTATGTAAGTGCGTTTGTACGTGTATGTTTGGGGGTCTGAAATGGACTAATCTACTTCACAATATTCCTTATGGGAACAAATTCGGTCAGTACTGGCACCTGAACATACTACTGGAATGAAAAAAGTTCGTTAACCGGGGGTCCACTGTACTTTGGAGATAAAATTAAAGATAATTACCCAGCACAAAGGCAGCAAGTCTGTAACTTGTATTCATTTATTTTTCAATACTGGTACAGTACTATATTTAGTTAGTTACAGAAATTATTTGTTCATTTACTTATTCAGTGAGAGTAATTATTTACTTATTTGGTATATCATAATAATATTTAACTTACAATATTTTCAACTTATCACGGGTCTGTCAGAATGTAACACCATTGTAAGTCAAGGAGTGACTGTACTATATTTTGTCCACATACCTGTCACCATTATGACCTACAACTATGCCATCTTCATGCTGCTCTTAACACACACAAAATTTTCTTTGTCATCTTCTTCTTCCAACAAACTGGCCACATCCCACCATAGCATATCATAGAGTAAGAAACAATTTTCAATTACAATCTAAGATGAAATGATTTCAACGTTTTCTAGGGTGGGTTTTGATCTGCGGAAACCTCTATGGAAATTGAAAAATCGGATCTGTCAATGAATTCGAGGTCGCTGGTGGAATATGACGAAGACCACATGACGGACGACCCGGATGGGAAGGATGGCTCAGACTTCACACACTTTAATGAATCTGTCGGAAGAAACATGGATGAGTTTTGTGCATTATCTTCGTCGTCTCTGGAAATATGAAGGGAAATTACTCAGTTGGTAAACATGGGGAAAAATTTAAATTCTCAAGTACAAAACAAATTTGGCCACAAAATAGAGCGAAACACCAACGTCAAAGCCCGGGGGAGTGTTAGTCGGGGGAAATCTCCCCCTTCAAGGCCCCTTTTAAACATTTATCAATGCTCTGCTGAAAAATGACAGGAGGGATAATGAGAACCTTCAAAATAGGGAGGCCAAGCCCATGATGAACTCTTCAGGTCATTTTCTATCTAGGGGGGAATATGCTGCACTCTAACAGCCCTTTCAAGGCAGGTGAAATTGCGCCCTGAAAATGTACAGGAACTTTCACGGTGCGCATAACGGAGATAAAAAACCTCAATTACTGGGGGGGCGCTTGAGGTTTCTAAACCCTTTATTCCCTGGAAACGCGGGGGGGAGAGATACTGATATTACACCTGGAAAATCCTAGGGGGGACTAGTCCAACTTGCACAGGAAAATCACTACTACAAAAGCAAAAGATTGGAGACGATGCACCACCCCCAAAAAGAAAAGCGGGGGTTTTCACTAGCACGTTAAGGACCATACAAAAAGTGTCAGGGGCCCGAGACTTTCAACCCCTCCCAGCACACATAAGGGGGATTACCAAGACCCCTGGCGTCTTCAAGCTGGCAGGAAAAGCACCTAAAGTCTTTCCTGTCACCCCGGGGCTGTGGCTCGACGTTGGTTTGCGGGGCCCCCAGAGCACAGCCGGGTTTGATCAGGCGCTGATCCACCAGGGGGCCCGGTCAAGCCGGGCCCTTGGGGTTGACCCCCGAAAATTCTCCGGTAAACTCCGGGATAATTGATGATGATGGGGAGATACCCGCTACTGGATACAAGTGGTGGATCCCACTAATGTTGCAAGTGGGGGTTACCACTACTGTATACAAATGGTATACCACTACGTAAATGTGGTTACCAATACTGTATACAAGGGTAGTTACCATCGTATACAGTGTAGTATCCACTACGATACAATTGGTAGTATACCACTACTGTTTCAATGGTGGTATACCACTACTGCTACAGTGGTAACCAACTGTTACAAGTGGTTTAAAACCACTCGTATACAATGGTGGTATACCACTACTTTACAAATGGGCGTATACCTCTGATACATTGGTAACCCAAAACTGATAAAATGGTGGTATCCATACTGTATACAAATGGTGGTAACCCTAATGTAACAATGGAGTTTACCCCTAAATGTATACATGTGGGGATACCAAAATGTATCAAGTGGTGGTATACCACTACTGTATACAAGTGGTGGGATACCCCACTGTTACAAGTGGTATTTTCCACACTGTATACATGTGGGATACCCCAAAACTGAACAAGGGTGGTTTTACCACACTGTATACAAATGGTGGTAACCATACGTTTTCAGTGGTGGTATAACTATGGGATGCAAGTGGGGTTTCCACTACTGTATTTTAAAGTGGTTACCAAACCCCGTATTCAAGGGTGAAATTTCCCTTGTATACAATGGTGGTATACCCCTACTGTATACAAGTGGTGGGATACCACTATGTATTTTAAAGGGGAGTATACCACTACTGTATCAAGTGGTGGGATACCAAACTGTATACAAGTGGTGGTTTTCCCCTAATGTATAAAGTGGTGGATACCCCTAGTAAAAAGTGGTGGTATACCACTCGTATACAAGGGTGTTTTACCATACGTATACAAGTGGTAGTATACCTTACTGTATACAAAGGGGGGTATACCACTACGTTTCAAGTGGGGGATCCACGTAAAAAGTGGTGGGTTACACTACTGTATACAAATGGTTTATCCACTACGTATAAAAGTGGTGGTTTTACCATACTGTATCAAGTGTTGGGATACCATACTGTATCAATGGTGGTATACCACTACTGTATACAAATGGTGTTACCCTACTGTATACAAGTGGAGTAAACCACTCTGTATAAAGTGGTGGTTACCACACTGATACAGTGGTGGTATACACTATGTATACAGTGGGGGGATTCCACTATGTAAAAGTGGTGGTATACCACTACGTATCAAGTGGTAGTATACCCCCTATGTATACAAATGGGGGTTACCCTATGTACAAGTGGGGTTACCACTACTGTATACAAATGGTGGTTACCACAAGTAACAATGGTGGTATACCACACTGTAACAATGGGAGTTCCACTACTGTATACAATGGTAGTTCCACAAAGTTTAAAAATGGTGGTTAACCTACTGATAAAGTGGGGTTCCAAAAACTGTATACAGTGGTTTTCCAAAACGTATCAAGTGGTAGTAAAACCCCCTACTGTTTCAAGTGGTGGTTACCCTACTGTTACAAGTGGTGGGTTTCCAAACTGTTTCTGTGGTTCCCCTATGATACAAGGGGTTTTTTTGGTTACCCACATAAAGGGGGATACCAGTTAAAATGGTTACCCCCTTTTCTTGTATCCAAGTTGGTGGTTCCCTACTGATAAAAAGTGGGGTATCCACTATGTATAAAGTGGTGTATACCCTACTGTATACAAGGGGGGTTTCCATATGTATACAAGTGGGGGTTACCCCATGAACATTGGTTACCCAAACTGTTCAAGTGGTGTTCCACTACGTATCAAGTGGGGGTATCCACTACTGTATACAAGTGGGGTTTACCCCTATGATCCCTGTGGAACCCTAGTAACAAATGGTGGTTAAAACCCGTTCAGTGGTAAACCCCACTATCCCCTAACCCCAAAAAAGCCAGGTAAGTGGCTTAAAAAAAAAATGATCCTTCCCAAGATTATAAAAATTATTATAAACCTAGGGAAGCGCTAAACTGTGGTTTAAGCGCACGGGGGGGGGGGGGGGAGGGAAAGGGGTTAGGGTTAACCGGGAATGGGGCACAGTCCAATTTTCCCCAGTCAGAGCCCCTCCCACGCGAGGGAAAACCCCCCTCGGGGGGGTTACCCCAAAAACCGAGCGCAAAAAACCCAAGGGTTCCCCCCCGGGGGGTCGAACCGGCACTTCGGAACCCCCCCCCCCAAAATTTTATTTTTATAAAAGGGGAAAGCGCTAAACCCGGAGGATTATACGCGCCCGGGGGGGGGGGGGTGTGGAAGGATTAGGCTTAAATTTGGGGAACTGGGCACGACCAATTCCCCAAATCAAGAGCCCCCACCCCCATCAAGGAACCTTCCTTGAGGGCCCCCCCCCCCCCCTAAAAAAAAAAAAAAAAAAAAAAAAAAAAAAAAAAAAAAAAAAAAAAAAAAAAAAAATTACTATACCTGGATAATTCGCTCAATAGGAAGCCCCTCGGGATCTTAAAAACATTTGACTATTAAATAAGGGGGAAGCCTTAAAAACCGGGGGATTTTTACAGCGCCTGGGGGGGGGGGATGTGGAAAGGGATATAGGCTTAATTCGGGGGGAAATTTGGGCACAATCCAATTCCCCGATCAAGAGCCCCCCACCAACATCAAGGAACCCTTTTTGGGGGTCATTTGACAAATTTTTTTTTTACGTTGCCGAGCAACTCTTTTAATTTTTAAAACGGTTGAAATTCCTTGAGCAGTTTTTAGTTTCCAGGGGTTTTGTCTTCTTTCTGTTGGTGGTTTATAGGGGCCCCTGGAAAAGGGGGTGCAGTACGAACCCCCGGGTTTTCGGCGGGCCCCCAACCAAGCCGCGTTGCTAATGGTCACGTATTTGTCGTGGGTGTTTTGAGTTGTGATGTGTGTGTGTTGTTGGGGTGTGGTTGTGTGTGTGTGTGTGTGTGTGGGTTGTGTGTGTGTGTCTCACCTATTTGTACTCACCTTTTTTGGGGTTTTTGCGGGGGTCGAGTCACAGCCCCTCGCCCCGCCTTTTCATGTTTGCTCTGGTCCTCTCTCTCCCTGCCCCAGAGCTTTTATCCTCCCTTAAAAACTATGTATGGTTCCTCCCCCCCCCAAACATCACTTTCTAGGCTATTCCAGGCCGACTACTCTATGAGAAGAAATACTTCCTAAAATCCTTTGATTCACTGAGTTTAACCCCAATTGTGACCTCTTTGTCTGGGGCCCCATCTCTGGAACATCCCGTCTTTGCCCCTGTCTATTCCGGGCGCAGATTTTAAATAGCGTTATCTTTTCCCCCCTGACCCTCCCTGGCCCCAGGTCGTCGGGCCGTTTCCTCCCCTTTTCTTCTGGGGACAATCCCGAGCTCTGGGACTATTTGTTGAAAACCTTTTGCATTTTCTCAAATTTTTGACGGGGGAAACTAGGTGGGGATTCCAAATGGTGCTGCATACTCCAGTAGGGGCCCTGACGTAGTGGTTTACAGAGTCTTAAACAAACCTTACTGGGTAGGGAAAACGTATCCGTAGGTTTGCCAGGGCCCGTAGCGCAGCAGTTATCTGTTTGATGTGCGCCTCAGGAGATATGCTCAGTGTTTATCCCCCCCAGATCTTTTTTTTGTGGGTTTTGCAGTCTTGGCCATCTAACTAATTGTGTCTGCGGGCTTCTTTGCCCTTCCCCAATCTTATGACTTTGCTTTGGCAGGGTTAAATTCTGGACCAGTTGCTGGACCAGGCTTGTAGCCTGTCCCAGATCTTTTTGTACCTCCCCTGACCCTCGTCCGATTGATTTTCTCATTAACTCACTCGTTGCAAACAAGGACATTTTTGGTCTTTCCCTTCCGTTAGTCGTTCGTTCCCAAGAAAGAAGGTCCTGGACTGACCCCGTGGAACCCGTTGTCACAGGCGCCCATCTAAACCCCTCGCGCTCCATGACTCGTTTTTCCTCCCTGTCGATATTCTCTGACCCCATTGCAGTGCCTTTCTGTTAGTGTGCCGGGGCCTCTAGCTTTTGCAGAAACCCTCTTGTGAGGAATTTTTCGAAAGCCTTTTTTGCAGCCCAAAAATACGCAGTCGTCCCCCCCTTCTCTCTTGTCTTATTTCTGTCCCCTTGTCAAAAAATTTAGTGGGTTTGTAACAGGATTTTCCTTCCCTGAAACCCGTGTGGTTGTCAATTATAAC